GAGGCCCACTTCCCAAAACTCTTACCCTATTTATGACCCAAATCTGTGTTTGTTTGTTTTTTGCAACCCTGTTTATTACCTGACCAAAAATTCGATAGCCTATTTAATAAAGTCTCTCACAAAAATTGGATGTGGGCAGGTGTGGGGCAAGCTTCTTGGAACCCTTAACCTATTTCAGGCCTGACCCTTACCCAATCCTTACCAAACATACCCAATTCAAGACCAGATTGCACAAACCATGACCATCTTTCAGATCAAAATGGTTAAAAATCACACCCTTTCATGCTTTGCTTACCTATGTAGCCCACATGGGGGAGTACCTCCCCCCACACGATGGGGCTAAATGAACATATGTGGTTACACCAGTTTATTCTTTTTAAAGTTCGAGGTTAGGGTCGAGGCCTCTGGGACACGCCCATCATCCATGTCCCTTGGTGGCAGGGGGGAAGTTGGGGAGTTTTTACTCCATCCTCACCCTACTAGTGTGAGTTTCTTTATCATTTGCACTCCCACCCCCACTACCTGTTCCACTCATCTGACGAAGTCTTTCCGTAAAGTACAAAAATTCGCCTCTCAAACAAGTGTTACAAACCAGGTAACTTGGGAGAATCTTAGCAAACCTTGATTGGAACTATGAATGCCTAGGTTTACAACATGAAGGATCAAAGCTCTTGACAGGACACTCGATTTTAAAGATGCTTGTATTTTACAGCTAGTTTGGTTTTTTTTAAGACACATACAAATGTTCTCAGCTAGTATATGGTACAAAACATCAACTGGCCTATGTCATGTCAAGATAAGAGGAAAGATAAGAGAGTTAATCTTCAACATAGCCCTCATTTCTAAGGTAATCCCTCTCAAGTCGTCACTTTTAGATTTTAAAAAAAATATTTCTGGAGGGTCGAGAAATAGCCCACCCATGACGCGATTTTTTTAAAGCCTGGTTTACTCTAAAACATAAGCACAAGCATACAAAGCATAACGGTAGTGAGGACGCCCACAACAAATTATGGGGGACGTTTATGCTTATGCTTACAGCAACGCGTTTCACTTACATAACCATAAGCACAAGAACAAAACGTTTTGTTCTTCTTGTGCTTAAGATTGTGCTGTGCACATTCTCACTACCGCTATGCTTAAGGTGGCTGAACACAGTTTTTGATAACTGTGTTTCATTCACCTTTTTCTTTAAAACCCTTGATCCTTCAGTCGTCAAAAATGGCACCAAGCTAGTTAACAACACAAACTTTGGTTTTTTGATGGTTAAGCTGACGTATGTGCCGTTGCCATGGCAACAGGAATAAATATAAACAGGCCTTTAAAATCGGTTTTGTTTATTTGCAGAAAATCTAGTTATTAGATTTTCTTTAAAATTTGCATGCAACAAGCTTGTAACGATTCTCACAAGTTAACACCATTTTGCTGATAATTTAACAGAGATCTTTAATATTATTATCCCTTGTTGAAGGTTCACTGGAATATCTAGAATTTCCTTTGTCAAAGAATTTTCCTTTGTCAAAGTTCAATTATTTTTAGTACTCCAGTTACTTATTTCCTAAAGTATTTTCGTGCCAAATTTCGTGAAATTCTAATGCGTAGTTCTCGAGAAATAGGCGTATTTCCGCGAGTGAAATTTTCAATCGCAATTTTTTTGACTTACTACGCATGCGTTGCATTTAACTGGGTTCTTTCGGTACATTCTCGTCCCCAGTGCTACTCGTCGTTTTCTCCGACCACGTGACCAAAAGAAATGGAGGCTCTGGGGACGAGAATGCTTTCGGTAAGAAAGAAAAAGCTGAGAATTGCTGAGTCCTTTGCATCGTTACCTTTTCTAACATATTTTTGTAATGAAAGACTAAAGCCATCAATACGCTGCGTTCAATTATAGAGAAAAATAGCACAGATACTGCGGGTGTTGAGTAAATAAAATGATCGCTCTATTGACGGCACGTTTGTTTTTTGCAATCCTTGAGCGCGCGCTGAATTGCATCAGCAAAAGTGCGTGCGAAACTGTGTTCGGCCACCTTAATAGGGCTGTGCTTCTGCTAACCAGGCTTAACTCACTAAGCGACGAAGCATTATCCGCGGGAGAACTGGATACTACATTGAAAGAAAGAGAAGGCCAATAAGTGGGACGAACTCTACTGCGCCTCATTCCCTCTTACCTATGTTCAGAGTTTTACTACAGAGATGTATCCGCCTATTAAGCAATTAGATTACGAGCTCAAGATTTCTATTGCGCATAGAAATCGAGAGTGAGCAATCTAATGGTTTTAGTATAAATCTACTAGTCGTTCATCTAAATCCTCTTCAGAGACACTTCGAAAACGCCAAGAAGCGGCCGTCATTTTGTTAACAAGGGCACACCGCTACGCTACTATCTATCACAGAATACATAGTAAGTAGCGTAGCCAATCAGAGAACGGCATTTGTGATAGAACGCTAGTAGATTTAAACTACTGTTAGAAGATTGCCGCTATATAACGTCATCTCATTCCCAAAAAGATCACACATCGAAAAATCTCAGGGAAATAATTTGAAAGAGGAATTTATTATTGTAGTAAACGATTATATTATGAGCTCGAGATTTCTATCGCGTGATAGTTGACGAGGGCTGCGCCCTCGTCAACTATCACGCATAGAAATCGAGAGCGAATAATCTAATTATTTTAGTATAAATCTACGCGCAGGCTGCTACGCCACTCACTATCTATCACTGAAAAGATAGTGAGTAGCGTAGGCAATCAGAGATCGCCATTTGTGATAGAACGCTAGTAGATTTATACTAAACACTGATAGGATAGAGACATCTCTGGGAAATGGTTTGTAAGGTTACGTATGTGTTTTGACATTAATACAAAGAACCAAAAATGTGTTACGCGGAAAGGATATAGTTTATTAAAGCTTTCTATTTATGATACAATTTCTGAGAGTTAAAAATATAAATGACGATGAAAGCAAGTTTATATGAACAAAGCTAGTGGCCTAACTTATTCCGGTATTTTTTCTCTTCTTGTACCAAGTTCACTTGACAAGAACCGTAACTCTTTTTCAAGACTGTCTCTAGTTTATAGTTAAATCTTTCCTCGAGTTCGTCGTCAAGTCCTAAGAATTCACCGCCACTGTACCCCGGGAGGGGTAATCCCATATACAAGCAACATGGGTATGTGCCGCTGTGAAGGGTATGGTTTTCAGGCAGTTTCGTCTGGGATAGCATATAGAAATCAAACTGTTTTGGTCTAGAAAAGCATATAATTTTACCAGAAAAGTGGCCACTGTATAAATAACTTAGTCTAAAACGAGGTTCTTTACCCAGGGTTGTATAATAGAAATTGAATCTCGGAAACGGCTTTGTAAAATATTGGTTTAGTTAGCGTATGTTGGACCACGATAGTGATAACGTTTTTGCATGGAAAGTAACTAACCTGGGACCGGGTTGGGGTTTTTGGTGGCTAGTCTACAATAGGGTTGCAAAATCAAGCTGATCATGGTCTAGTATATAGGGTGAGTGTTTCAGTGTTCCAGCGGCACAGCCCTACCCAGAGATTTACAGAGCACCATTCCTGGGTACTGTAACTTGATGTCGATGGTTGACGCCGAGGGAGTGATTTTGTTCATTTGTTTTGACCAGTACGTAAGTCATTCAGCAAGATGCAACCGTTGGGAGTTTTAAATAGAGCAACGGATCGACAGCGCAAACCTGAAACTATAATGCACTTGTGTATGTCAAGGTAACTCTAATAACGCTTCAGACGCTTTACTTTTACGCTCCAGTTTCAACATTGGTAGTGGAATCCGTTGTCTCGGCTCTATTCTTATGCTTGTAATGGCTGCTTAACAGTCCTTTGAGCTGGTCTTCTGGGAGAGTGTGGTAGAACGAAAGATAACGAAAGTCTTCGGACAAGTCCTCCTCCAGAAGGCTAATGAGGTACACAAAGGTCGGCCGAGTTTTGGGATTAAACTGCCAGCATAACGTCATCATTTCATATCTGCAATAAGATCATAAAGGAAGTTTCTCTGTCAACACCTACATCTCAAGAAAAAACTAAACCAAAAGTATCCGTAATCGGAATTAAGAACCTTTAATTAAAAATACGAGGAGATGAATTGAGATACACTCTAAAACTTGGTGATTGTTACACAGTTGATCCAAAATAGTTCGAAATAACTGATAGTAAATGACTGGAGGGCAAATCCAAGGGCGATGGTTTTGAGTTCGAAAGAACGGGAATAGTCGTCTTTGAATTAGCGGGGTCCAGCTGAAGTCGCCTAACGACAACACCAACCCATCTTTGACATTACTAATCTACTGAGCCTGCAAATCAACGGGGGCGTTAAAGCGGCTGTATTCACAAGCTATCGCTGATCATAAGGACATTTCAATTTGCGCAACGAACACGTCGCGATACAAGAAACCTTAAGTAAAACATGACTTTTTTTTCCGGTGAATTAAACACATATATTAAAGCTAAAATAATTACTGCGTCAGTCTAGGGAAGCAAAACACTCAGAACTAAAAGAAACAGAGAAAGAGAACGAAAACATGCAACTACTGTAAAACAAACGAAGTAACCATTTACATAGTTCAGATTTTGCACCTGCTTTGCTATGAAGTAGACATGATCACTCTGAAGGCTTTACTAGTTATGAAGCACGACAAAATAATACCAAACCAAAATAATCAGAACACGACAGCTAATGAGAAGCCACAAACTATCCCAGTTACTTACAGCCTGTCTGGACATTCCTCTGGTTTCTCCATGAGTCCTCCATCCACTACATATTTCAGTACTTCTTCGTTGGACTTTCCAGGGTAGGGTTGGCACGCTAGTGTAGCCATCTCCCACATCACAACGCCAAATGACCTGCCATGTGAAACAAATAAATTATTTTCATTTACAGCCTATTATCTTTGTAGTGACATTATTAAGTATCGCCTTATTAAGCAGTTTATACCCCGCACATCTGTTGCGATAACCGATGACTTAGGTGACAGACGACGGAAGTAATGAGTGTGGTTCCTTCTTTGATTGACAAATGCAGTGTATGAATTACTATCGTGTAGTTGAACTGCTATCAATACAAAAGTGCGACTCACCAAACGTCGCTGTAACTCGTGAAGACACCATCTTTTAGAGACTCTGGCGCCATCCACCGTACGGGAAGTAAACCTAAAGAGAATTGGAAATTTAAAGCAACATCGAGAGGGTGAACTAGACATGGCTAGCATACGTGAAGGAAAATGGCCATAAGAGTGGAGAGTAGTACAGCATGAGGGCTGCAGTTGCCAGAGATGACAAGCCTACCTTTTCCTCCTTTTCTGTAATAATCTGTTTCGTAAATGTCACGAGTCATTCCAAAATCTGTCAAAAGACGATTATGATTACTATTTTTTAAGAACAAAAAGCACAACTGACCAAAAAAATTTTGATAGGTAATTACAGGTTAACGCACTCAGCGAGTGAATTATCGGGACTTACCTGCACGAGTTCACTAACAATGAACGAGAAATTTCAATACCGCACGAGGCTTTGCCTCGTGCGGTATTGAAAGTTCCGAGTTCATTGTCAGTGAACGAGTACAGGTAAATCTCGATAATTCACGAGCAATGAGTGCGTTAACATTTTTATTATTCAAATTGAATACACTGCGCAAAGAAATCCTGCATTACAACCACTATATTTGAGTCAGCCGAAGCCATGGTGTAATGACAGTGGTATGTTGAATTTACACCACGGCTATTACACCACGATAATGACGTCAAGGTTGTTGTCTCGTCACAACCCAGCATCACGTGGTACAAATCAGCCAGTCAGAAATTCGGAATTCGTACAGTGTATGAAAGTTGAATAATAATAACTATTAGACAGTGCCTCACCTCCTATTTTAACTGTAAAATCCGAGTTTACCATGCAATTTCGTGCTGCAAGATCTCTGAAAGAATGGAAACACTTCGTTAGGAAAACGGACACTAACTCTAACACAAAATCTTCCATATTCTGTTACGACAGTAAGTTAAAGAACACATGAGTCCTGTGTTCTTTGTCTGTTATATCCCATAACACATCTCTTACAATTTGTGCATCAGCAGACTCGAGTTATCTTGCTTGTGCTCTGGCGCAGTTGGTTCTCGCATGTCGCGAAGTTCTGTTCGTTTATTACAGAGAAACTCAGTTACAAAACGTCATGGTTGATACCTGTGAACATATTTCCTGGCCGCAAGGTAGGCCATCCCATCCGCAATCTCTCCAGCCATTTGAAGAAGTTCTTGAAGGGTTGGAGCAGGCAACGATCCTTCCTGTTGAAGACAAATGAATAGAGTGTTGTTGAAAACACAAACAGTATAATCAACTGTTTTGATCTTGTTATCATTCTTCTCCTACAGACCTTCCTGGACGTTACGTATCTAAACATAAATTCTTTTCTAGCTCACCCCTGGCCGACGAGATCGTAAGAAGTTCTTGAGATCTCCGTGCTCCATTAGTTCCATGATAACCAGAGTAGGCTGGCCCTCTGACACCACGCCCAGAAGCCGTACCACGTGGTTACTGCAGAATTGTCTGACGAGACAACAAAAAGGAAACTAAGCAACAGAAATCATTACTAAAGTCAATCCTATGCATGACTGAATTGTGATAGATAACAAAACAAAGTCATAAACTGACCACCGACGTTATCTGTTAAAAAGAAAAGAAACACGGCAGATAGCTAGCACGAGAAAAGAAAGGGCAATTCTTGTCTGCCATTCTCGCTGTAGCTACCAGAAAGCGATTCGATTTTTCGTTGTACAATTATTAATAAAAATTTCCGCCTCTTACAATTGTTTCAACAAGTTTTACAGATTGTTTTACATTTAAGGAGGGAATTTTTTTCAATAACTTCGAACTGTGCTGTTCTGTTTTGGTTTACTCAATGTATTTTGCAAAGTATACACACAAGTAAACCGGTTTCGAGCAACGACACACGCCAAATACATACTCTAAAACGGAAAAAGAATGGATCTATATCAAGATTATAATAAAGAACTAAATTACGTTAAATCAAGAAGACTTACTTCATAACAGACGCCTCTTGGAGAAACTCCACTCTGTCTCGTATTGAGGCGTTTTCACTCACAGTCTGCAATAAGAGATGATATGATCAGAATTCTTAGTTTAAGTCTTTGGATGCTCATTTCACCTGCACTCACTCAGGGAAGAGGGACAGACGGAGGTTAACTCGAAGAAGCCACTACTTGTTGAAAATTTGGCACAATCGTTGCTGTCGATGCTGAGATCGGATAAGACTTTAAAGGAAGGCAGCACTGATGAGTTTAGGTTAAAACTAGTGCATACCTCACAGCTAAATTTGTTTCGTCGGCGATCTTGTCGAGTCAAATCAAAGCTTTAAGGCCGTTTTCAACTGAGTGTCGAAAATCCACAACCAAACCAATTATTTTATGTGACCGATAAGACTACTCAGCTAATCTAGAACCGTAGTAAAACCAAAACTAAAACCAAAACCAGTGTTATTGCCTGATTACTTTCTACACGCAATTAAAAACCGCTCTAGACAAGCCAATAAAGATCAACATCAGCCAGTAGAAAAACAAATTCTGTGATGAGTGGCAGGTAATCGCGGAACCAAACCAATTTACGCTACGAACGGAATCACGGGTTCACGTGCATTTAAGTACTCCCAGTACAAAGCCAAAAAAAAAAGAAAGAAAGAAAGAAAGGAAAGATTGCGCTTCACACACAGAAGTGAGAATAACAAAATTTGTTATACCTTGACTGCTACTCTGCGTATAGGGACATCTGGCGTAATGTCTTCAGCTTCTCCTTCATAAACCATGCCAAAAGAACCGTTTCCTAGTTCTCGAACAAGCTTGATCTTTTCTCGTGGGAACTCCCATTCATCAGCAATATACACTGCAATCACGAAACAACGATAATAGTTATGGCCGTCTGAGTTGGCATTCCTATCTGGTCTACTGACACTCCTTCCATCACGCAAGAGAGAGACCTCTGCGATTCAGCGAGACATTCCTCACTGGTGATCCATACTCCGATCCAGTGAACCAGTCAAAGAAGGTACAAGAATCACTGTAGTACTTAATCGAGATCATAGTGAAACTGTCCATTAATAACAACAGGCTGCCAGTTATTCTAGCCGTCTTAGACATCTGAACAAACACACATTTATCAAGGTGCTTGGTATAACCCATGTCACCTTTAACCCGTTTATCTATGGTGTTGCGACATTAGTTGCTGCTAAAACCGTTAAATATCTGGCCCGTCATCGCCTTTAGAGCGACAGCAAAACAAAAAGAACAAAAAAAGACAACCAAAATCTATGACATTGAAAAGGTAAAAGTTAATGTCTGCGCGTTTTAAGTAGGTTATACCGTCAGTGGATGTCATGTATTCCGGGTTAACAGAAGCGTACAGAACTCCGGGAATTTGTTCATCACTGTACCTGAAGTTATCAAACAAAACAGTGCATCAGTAGATGAAACTCACAGGACATTCAAAGCCCATGCCTATCTACACCGTTTTACTAGAAGATAAAAAGCGTACATTCACAAAGGTTCAGAAAACTCGTGAGTCACGTGTAAATAGCAAGGCCAAGCTTCCCTTTCACTTATAGTCTCCACTGTTATGAGCGATCATCACTTAGAAAGACTGGACCACAATTTTACGAGGCCACAAAACTGGGTCCTGATTAAGACCACGACATTGGGTTCCAAGTGACATTTCTTGGTCAGGGGTAACATTTCGGTCAGCGGCATCCAGTCAGTTTCACAATGGCGACGTTGCTAAGCAACGTGTGACCTCATTAAGCTGATACGAGAGCTTTCTGAGTCATCGAGATGGCAAGTCCCATTTGTTTGATTGGAAGACTAATAAAACTTCCTATCACTCCTTTGCATTTTTGATGGATCTGTTTCTACGACCAATCAAAATCTGAAGTCGATATGGCCAACATCGCCCGGTCCCCCCCCCCTACCATAAAGGCTAAAGCGCGCTATCATGGCAATTACTGCAGAGATTAAAGGGTAGAGTCATGAACTACAGTTACCATAGAAACACAATACCTCTTGTATCTCTTACGAGCAAAATACCACACCACAAACCCGCACGCTAACACAAACACAACACTGGCAGCAAGGCTGGTACCCACGATTGTCCCGAGAGACATGGAATCATTCTCCCGTAATGGAGGGTCTAAAACAGAACACAAGTGATTTAAGATATCAGTATATTGGTCTCCTGACACCATGGTTATATTAAATGACTATAGCAACAGTAATCATATCTAAAAATTCCGATTGGGGTAACAAATTCCACTCCCTACCCTGATTATTGCACCTTCTCTCCGTGGTCGCTTACTTCAGAGAGTATGTAAGCAGAAGACAAATCCTGAAGTGAGCATCGAATTTCAGACTAATCGCACAAGGAAGAAAAGCCGGCAGGGCAATAAGCCCCCNCCCCCCCTTAGCTCAAGGTCTGGATCCGCCACTGCAGGCTCCCAACTTTGAGGACTAGATATCAACGTTGTAACCAGAAACCTTAGCCTAAGCATTTAAGGCTTTAGCACACAAACAGGACAGTTCTAAGCTCAACGCGATTTTCACAGAAAGTAAATGTAGGCTAATTAACAATTAGATTATGAGCTCGAGATTTCTATGAGGTGATAGTTGATGAGGCCGCCGGCCGAATCAACTATCGCCTCATAGTAATCGAGAGCGAATAATCTAATTGTTTTAGTAGAATTCTTACTAAAATTTACTTTAAATAACGGTTTCCCATAATTTTTCAACGCATTATTGAACTGTACGCTTTAACAAAATCGCACGTATTGAATTGTCCTTAGCAAATTTGCAGTTGTTTACGCGCGCGCACCCGTTTTTTTTTCAATAATTTCAAGTTTTTAAAGTCAAGAAGCCGTCAATGTCCTTCTTTTAGTCTTCTCAGGAATTTCATTATCCATTTACATCTAAACTTTCTTCCAAAACTTCAGGAAAACGATAAAAACGTCGCATTTCGTAGACCACCGACAGCCACTGCACTCCGATGGCTGATAGTATACGAGTAGCTCAGCCAATCAGATTGCAGCATTTGCATTAGTATACTAGTAGAATTCTACTAATTAGTGTTAGAGTTAGGTTGAGACAAGTGAGACGAGTGAAGCCTATCAATCCTATCAGCCTAAAGAAGCATTTAGCCAATACATCTAACGTAGTAAATGGAGGTAATCAAATTGGAAGCGAACTCTTAAAGTCCAGGTGCCGAAGAAGTGTCGAAGGCATAAACTTTAAACCGGAGTTCTTGCTGTCAAGGAAACACAAGCTATAAATTGTACTAAAACTCACCTTCTGACTCGTCTTTACTCGGTAAGGAGAAAGCTACAGTGTTACTCCAAGACCCATTGCCGGCAGGGGTAATGGCTCGTACACGAGCAGCATACTTCCCGTCAATACTAAAGGGAGGAGGTCCTGTATGTGTAAACTTTTTGCCACCTACACATCGGATCACAGATTGATTGGAGTTCTGTATATTGAAACAACGACAAAAAAACATAGCAGCTTGAATGATGTTTCGCTGTGACAAAGGCAAACAATGATAAACGATCTTAGCAATCTTTAGGAGAGGTACAATATCATTATATTAGATCACTTTCTATTCTGCGCACTGTCGCTTGAAGATCCGTTGAAATCTTCAAGAGAACTAAGTAGTTCATCACCTTTGGGAATCAGACATTAGTTTACTTGCTATTGTGTCCTACGAATCATTTCCACACCACTGAAACATTTATATCACACTTCTGCTATATACTGATTTTGGTGTTACAGTACATCGACACTACCACTGTCAAATATTGACGTTGAAGAGGACCTCCGTTCTGCGTCTGAACCGTCTTTCTCAAGGCGTCTCTCACCCTGAGAATTGCACTCATTAAGCTAGCACGGCAACTGTGGCTGTAACAACGACTTCACTGTCACCTATTTTCGCTGCTGTGCATCTAGTTTTATATGCGAGATACGAACAGAGCACATTAAGGTGAGGTGTGGTCAGGAGGTGATGCTGTTCCTTTTAACTGGTTTCAAACTTAAGGCTTCGTATGCATTCCAGATTGTTTGATCTCCAAGACTGGGATCTTTCGATGATGGGAAGATGGACGACTCTATTTTGGTATCAGAAAGACGCAAGTTCGCAAAAAGGACCAAACAATCTATAAGAAGCACAATTGGAAACAAGGTGCCCACGCCCTTTGACCGAGTAAAGAGGGTTTGCATGCACCTACCATTTTGATTTCAATGTCATACTTGAGTACCACTCCATTGGGGTCCTTTGGAGGGGACCATGAAAGAGAAAACTGTAAAAAATAAAACAAAAATAGCATGGCATTAAAACAGTCGCAAACTGTGGAAAGCAAGACAAGGGTCAATCTACACCTACAGTCTGTACCAAGTCAAATCAATACAGTTTCTTACTTCTTTAGTGACGTTGTCAGTAGTGACCTTCAGGGGGCCTCCAAGATTGTCAGCTGTAACTGAAATAAAAATAAAAAATCCATTAACAACATCATTGTTTTTTAATGACTACCAGATGCCATTACACTTCAAGCTCATGTCACTTACTGTTTTTGTAAGTCATTGCCTTTGTGATCGCACAGGAACTTCCAATTGCACAACCAATTTTTGTACATGCACAGACCTGAAGGGTGATCATTAAAATAATGCGTAAAAACAGAGAACAGCAACCCATCGTTTAAACCAATAATCAAATCGCTTTGTACTGGGTCTTGGGCAAAATGTCACTAAAATGTCATAATGTCACTAAAGATAAGCTTAAAACACTCCCTTACGTATAGGCTTGTAACGGGTGAAGGTGTTAGTCTAGTCATAGGAGGCAAGCCCACTACCTCAGAACAGGGCTAATGGGATGACTGACGAAAAAACAGTCAACTACCTGTCAATGCCATTTACTTCTTGGTTTGCATAATGTTTGTGAACTGTAATCACCATAGAGGGGAATGGTTATGAAGTCCGGCAAACATCAGATGCCAAGATTTATGTTGGAAGGTCCACGACCGAGCACAATCTTTTGATTTGTGTTCATATACTATGCATGAATTACATGTGCAAAACGTTTCTATTGGTTTGGTCTTCAATCAGAAGTAAACATCTATTGTGCTTTGTGCACAGTCAAGGCCAAAAAAGGTAACAAAACATACAACAAAGACCTTTGTCAGGTTTCAAAACCATTCCCCTCTATTAAAAAGGTCTATTAACTATGTCATCAAGCATCACATGAACCAAAGGCATATAAAATGTAGACTCAAAAGAGTTCTGTGTACTGCACTTACAATGATAGCATAGTCTGAGAAGTGTTTCAGTTTGGCCAGGATGACACTCCTAGCTTTGCCATTCACCACCAAGGTGACATTAGAGGAAGCTTCGGTTGGTAGAATGGTTGGCTTTGTGGAGGTTGGTTTGGCGGATGTGGTTGACTCCTTAGACGATGTTGTAGTTGGTTTACTGCTTGGTGGCACTGTTAAGTTTTGACACGATGGATTCTGAAACAACCACACCCAGTTGAACATGGCTTGACTCTTTTTAAGACAATGTTATAAGAAAATTCAACTTCTGTTCATACAAGTTATCGGCAAGTATAGCCTTAGTTTTGAAGAGGTTTGCCTTTCAGTGCTGCCCAATAAATAGCCCAGTACATTTTAAACATACTGTTTCCAGAAGTGGGTCCTGATGTTCTTCTTAACATTAATTTGCTCACCATGAAAAATTTGAGACTCGTAAAATGGGATTAAAGCACAATATCATAGTTATCATGCACTGAGAAAAACTGCCCTGAAATTTTAACATCTCTTTTGTTTAGGGTTGCATAATTTGAAACCAATACAACAGCAATCCCATTGTGTTGCTGACCTCTCAACTGCATTGCAATGTAAAAATCCATTACAGATATATAACCTNACAGGAACTTCCAATTGCACAACCAATTTTTGTACATGCACAGACCTGAAGGGTGATCATTAAAATAATGTGTAAAATCTAACAGAGAACAGCAACCCATCGTTTAAACCAATAACCAAAACGCTTTGTACTGGGCCTTTGGGCAAAATGTCACTAAAATGTCATAATGTCACTAAAGATAAGCTTAAAACACTCCCTTACGTTTAGGCTTGTAACGGGTGAAGGTGTTAATCTAGTCATAGGAGGCAAGCCCATTACCTCAGAACAGGGCTAATGGGATGACTGACGAAAAACCAGTCAGCTACCTGTCAATGCCATTTACTTCTTGGTTTGCATAATGTTTGTGAACTGTGATCACCATAGAGGGGAATGGTTATGAAGTCCGGCAAACATCAGATGCCAAGATTTGTGTTGGAAGGTCCACGACCGAGCACAATCTTTTGATTTGTGCTCATATACTTGGCATGAATTACATGTGCAAAACGTTTCTATTGGTTTGGTCTTCAATCAGAAGTAAACATCTACTGTGCTTTGTGCACAGTCATTGCCAAAAAAGATAACAAAACATACAACAAAGATCTTTGTCGGGTTTCAAAACCATTCCCGTCTATTAAAAAGGTCTATTAACTATGTCATCAAGCATCACATGAACCAAAGGCATATAAAATGTAGACTCAAAAGAGTTCTGTGTACTGCACTTACAATGATAGCATAGTCTGAGAAGTGTTTCAGTTTGGCCAGGATGACACTCCTAGCTTTGCCATTCACCACCAAGGTGACATTAGAGGAAGCTTCGGTTGGTAGAATGGTTGGCTTTGTGGAGGTTGGTTTGGCGGATGTGGTTGACTCCTTAGACGATGTTGTAGTTGGTTTACTGCTTGGTGGCACTGTTAAGTTTTGACACGATGGATTCTGAAACAACCACACCCAGTTGAACATGGCTTGACTCTTTTTAAGACAATGTTATAAGAAAATTCAACTTCTGTTCATACAAGTTATCGGCAAGTATAGCCTTAGTTTTGAAGAGGTTTGCCTTTCAGTGCTGCCCAATAAATAGCCCAGTACATTTTAAACATACTGTTTCCAGAAGTGGGTCCTGATGTTCTTCTTAACATTAATTTGCTCACCATGAAAAATTTGAGACTCGTAAAATGGGATTAAAGCACAATATCATAGTTATCATGCACTGAGAAAAACTGCCCTGAAATTTTAACATCTCTTTTGTTTAGGGTTGCATAATTTGAAACCAATACAACAGCAATCCCATTGTGTTGCTGACCTCTCAACTGCATTGCAATGTAAAAATCCATTACAGATATATAACCTTTATTTACCTTCGGCAGTGTTATAGCACAAGTGCTAGTGGGGCCGAGCAAACAACTGAAACAAATAATTAAAATTGAACATAACATTGTTAAGAATCCCTACTGGCCAGAGGCATACCAGTTGGCTATTTACAAGCGTGGCTGAGGATTTGAACTCAGGGCTATCGAGAAACAAATCCAGGTAGTGGTCAGAGTGGGACTCCAACTCGGGACCGCTGGATTGTGAGTCCAACACGCTGACCACTCGGCCATGCTGCCATCATTCACTCAACCTTTCACTACCCGTCCTGATTAGTTAAATGCTTGTCAGCCTCCTCTCTCCCAAATCTATAGCACCAGTCTCAGTCCTAACCTGTACATCATTGCTACAGTTTGTCTGATTTGAACCAGAGGAAGGGATGGTCGTTGCTGTGGTTCTTGGTGCTGTAGTAGTCTCGTCATCGTCATCTTTCTCTTTTGTGAAGATCGTCTGGTACAGTTTGTCTTGGAACTCCTTTGCGAACAATGCAGCTTGTTTTTCTGGTTTAACTTCTGGCTTGACATCACAGTCACAGGTTATGTTTACTTTGCAACTCCCTAAAAAATACAAAACATAAGGTGTTAACTATTAAATTCCAGCTGGAATTTCTTCCCCAACAGCATGCATTCTCATTGGGTACTTCAAGGTCATATGACATCTACCAATGAAACTGTTTCTAGCCAAGTCTCTGAGGGGGCAACATTGCAAGTTTTTACCATCAGGGTTACACTCATCTGTTACCCTTGAATTTTGACCCACCACCACCATTTTTACATTGTACCTACCAACATCTTTTTCACACTTTACAGAGCGGTTTTCAATTGAGTGTCGTAACACCAAAACCAAACCAATTACTTACCAATTAGACTACTCAGCCAGTGTCAAATCGTAGTAAAATAAAAACAAAGTAACTGTCTGATTACTTTCCTCACTCAATGGAAAACCACTCTATCAAATCACTTAACTGTTTGTATCTTGGCAAACTAACAAGAAATACCTTAAACAGTTTTCTTTTGAGACCAGTTGTTGAGCGAGTGTTATGTTTTGAATGCCGTTTTTGAATTATTTTGTTTTTACACCCTGTCCTCTCAAACTTATTACATGTAAATGTGATAAGCAATGATGAAATAGTGCTAAAATCTTGGCTTTTAGTCTTGTGTGCAGATTACTTAATAGTTATGCTGCTCAAATCAAACTTTATTTCCTTAAATTTACACCTACCATCAGGATTCTTATCTGCACTTCCTTCATCAGCGCTGGTATCGACTCCTGGTCTGTTGCCAAAAACTTGCCGACTGCACCAGTCAAAGTCTTGTTTCCATGGAGAGTATGTGCTGGATTCATACTTCACAATAAACTTGGTGATGTTACCATTTGGAAATAAAGGAAGCTGCCACTTGACAATTAATGCAGAAGAGTTGATGTAGTTTGCTTCAAGACCCACAGGCTGGGATGGCACTGCAAGCCAAAGTGAATGCGTGTTACATTGATTTTGATAAATTAATGATTCTTTGCCTAACCAATAATTGAAGTGATATTTAATAAATAAAACTAATAACATTGTTAACTCTGACAACTGAAGGCCCACAAATATTCTCAGATGGCAAAGTTTAGTTGTTGTCTAATCAATTTGCAGTGCAACGAAAACAAAATAATTTCTTACTTTAGTACAAGTGAGAATACCAGATGAATAGGAGGGGGCATCTCAACTATTATTGATCAAACATAAACGGCCCTAGCATATTAATACAATGACATGTAATATACTAAAACACAGATCTAACATAACACAAAATTGACTAAGGTAAATTTTTGAAACTGAAGTGGTCAGTGATCAAAAAACGGAGATGCAACAAATAATAACACCTAATTCACCAAGGTTAAAAATTCAACTCGTAACTAGTCTGCTGGCAGCCCTTTTTTTCTCTAAGGATCACTTAGACCAGTGTTTAGTCATTGCGAACACAAAAGAGCAGTATGGCGGTGGCCAAATAGGGAAGAAGGTGGGACAAAGGAGTATGGCCGAGTAGGGAAGAAGGCATGCTGCGCCCATGTCTTGTCCCATTCCCCTTTAGGCTAAAGCATCTCGCCTCATAACCCCTGCTGAATTTTGAGAGAAAAACAGACCACCAGCAGTCTAACTCGTAACATGCTTATGTAACCTACATACCAATGCAGTATCAATGTGAAAAATTATATTTATTACAGAATGTTTATTGTGAGTCTCTTTTTGTCACTGTCTGTGAAAATTACTCAGATTCTTGCTAATCATTATGACAACTTTTTACCCCTTACTTTTGATACATTTTTTGGATGAGCTGTTTAGAAGTACTGTTTATTGACATCTAGCTTATAAACTAAGTTAAAAATTCCTATAATTATATTCATACAACAGATACATATACAAATATTTCAACTGATCATTCATTCCCTATAACTTAATACATGGAGGATGGTGTCTGTCTTGAATTTTAAATTAATTTCATTTATTCTTTTTTATGTCAAGTACTTCGTTTTCCAAATTGTACTGTTGTTCTGCCTCTGCTGTTGTTGCACTGTTTACAACACACTTTTACCTACAGACCACTTGTGAAAATGGCCGGGTCTAAAACTTCAACACGACAGCAGAAAACCGAGATAGCTAGGGGCGAATTGAAAGATGAAGAAACTAGAGCAAATCAACAGTACAGATAGCAGTTTCCAGATTTAACCACACAGTAACCAAAATATGAGCAAGAAATCATACTGACTAAGGACCTTCATGAGCAGATATTATTCTGTGTGTAACAAAATTCATTGATTAACTCAGGGCTGCTGCAGCCTTTTCTTCTGTTCAATGAGTGGTAAAATGTTGTTGCAGTAGCAGTAGCTTTGTTGGAGGCTCAGGGGATTCTCAGTAGAGGCAAGGGAAAATCAAAATAAAAGGGGAAAATGGCAAAGAAAAAATGGGTAAACTGCTTAGACTTAAAGTGTTGATTTAAGTTAGGTATATTCAAGGATTGCCACATGTAATACTTTCAGTTGCATGAATAATCAGTGGTTTAAAGTTTTTGTACATTGTTCATTGCCTGCTTTATGCGAATTACTGTCAGAAGGTTAAGATGTCAAAAAGGTTTTGGTCAGTTTGCTTGAAAATATTGCACTGTTGATAAGACCACTGCTGCCAAAAAAGGTATGTACTCAAAACATTCTGATGTGCTACTGGAGTGTTTTTTTGTAAGTTGCCATAATGTTGGCCTCTTCTTAACTTACCACTTTCCTTAGTCTGGATAAACACCAGGTCACTCTTGGCACCTTCATTCTTCAGCACCACTGCCTCAACTTGAAATGCATACAGGGTAAAGTGCTTGAGCTTTGGGATGTATTTGAAAATTTTACGAGGTTTGGTTGCTAAGCTGTTTGGGGTGGTGTCATTTTTATCGAAACTAGTGACATTTACTCTGAAAAAGAGAAAAAATACTGGTCAGAAGTAAGAACATATCAAAAGCACTTTTGAAGCAAGGGCACTAAGCTAGTCAAACACTATTTAATTATTGATTAGAAACTTATAGTTCTAATTAGAATGTGTGGATCCAATAAATATCCATATCTGCTCTAAGGCGAGCTACTGGAAATTCCATGGGGAAGGGGGTCCTCAAAGCCAATGTTTTAAATGGAAAACATGAATTCACCAAAACTGGAATTTCTAAGAGGATGAGGGTCAAACCAAAAAGCCTCCATAAGAGGGGCATGGATATTTTCTGGGTTAATTTACCTCCTTTATCTCAGCTGAGTATTTTTAATTACTTTACCTTTGGTACAGTGCAACAGTTCCACTGTCAGTAGCTTTTTACAAACTACAGCTGAACCTCCGCTAACAGCCAACCCTTTACAACAGCCACCTCTGTATAAAGGCCACTTTTTGGTCCCAGCGGACAATATATTCACTTACATTCAACCTTATTTTAATCTCTCTATAATGGCCACCTCTCCCACAATGGCAATGGCCATTAACGCCCAAGTCGCTAGTGGAGGGAAGGTGCCTACGAAGCCCGGGGGCTGCAACCGCAGTCACATCCCCAAGGCACTAGAACACCCGACTGGCNCTGGTAACTTATATTTAACTCACAGGAAGAACATTACTATTAATTTACATTTGTCCTACAGTCATTAAAGACAGTTATATTGTTTCATTTGTAATTACATGTATCAGTTTATGTACTTACTCAGGGGTCCCTGCTACCTTGTCCACTCGTGTCCAGCTGTATAACAAAATAACAAAATAAACATGTACAAAATTATAAACATCTTTGTTGTATATCAGGAATCACCTCATACTAACAAGTTTCCTAAAATGTCATCAAAATTGGTTGACAATAAACTACTTGGACTGGACAAGGATAGAACAGCAAGTGCCTGTGTAAGGTTACTTATTGATCGGAATTTGTAATGCCGACAAATGTTCAGTTGGAATGTCACATACTTCTTTTACTGGACTGAAAGTTTCCACTAGATATTCTACACAAATTTAACATTTTTCTGGTGTAATTTTCATAGGCTAGAAGGATAAAGGTTGAAGTCTGGCTCTGTATATAGTAGTAATAATTATTATATGCCTCAGCAGCTTAACAGAAAGTAACATTTGTCCAAACAAGCTATTACACTTACACATTCTCACTGCTGCATGCATCCACATCATCATATTCTGTGATCTTTCTATTTGGGCTGAAATGGGATATTTCAGGCATTCATTATTAACAAACCCTGGTTAAAACAATGTAAATTACACAGTGAACAATAAAACAGCCAACATAACATTTGTCCAGTTACTTACGCCTCTCTGTAAGACACAGTGTAAAACAACACAGTTCTATAATCATCAAAGATTTCATCCCACTCCACTTTCATGCAAACTGGTGTACATCTGCCTACTGAAACTTCCTCTAGAGTCACATTTATTTTGCGAACATCACCTACAGATGACAAAAATAAAAACAAAATTACTTTCAAATAATGTATATTTCAATTAAATAAATAAACAAATAAAGACGAGTTTAAACTGGAGGTATTACATCAAACACGAAAGACTGTGTTTGACCACATTTCCAAACGCAGAGAAGAGAGTTGAAAATACTGTAGAGGAGTATTTTTGACAAACTTTGAGGTGTTTGGAAATGTGGTCAGACACTGTCTGGAGTGTCTGATATATCTTCTCAACTGAAACTAAAACTAAGAAAACGGAGAAAAAAAATCGTAAAAATCTCTGCTGATTAAGATCTGATATCGAAATGCCGTCTCTGTTATGCCTTCCTTTATTCAAACTTGATGAATTATTAACACGTTTGGGAAAAAACTTTCTAGCACTCCTGCTGTAACTCTTGATCATCCACTCTTGTGCACTCTCTTCGAACTTGAACTTAAAAAGATCAAACTTGAACTTGCCTAGCCGGTCTCCAAAAGTATTTGAATTTCTGATAGGGGTATAACTGAACTTGAGCTACCCCTTTACACATATATTTTTTTCAAAAATTTCTCATGATGAACCTATTTTAATGGCAGTCTCTTCCTTGCTCCAGTATAAGAGCAACATTACTGAATCATCTCAGTAAGCTTAATGCAGTCATGATTAGGTATGTGACTTGGACCATATTTTCACAACTTCCAAAACCAAACAATTTCTGATTCAGATTATTTTAACATTAGCTCAGAGAGCATGAGCTTGATAAGTTAGCTTATACTATGACTGTCTCTTTTCTAAGAAAATAAAATTTCCATCCAGGCAAGAAATTTGCAGTCCATTTTTTAGTGCTCAGATAATAACAAAGCAAACAGTGAAAGAAAGTGAAAGAAAGTCAAATTAACCCATCTCTTGATTCTTCTCTACACTTACATGCCATGGCATTTCCATTGGTGGTGTCTGAAATATCAATGCTTCTTTTTGAGTCATTTTTATTCCACTTAAGAACATCGTTCACAAGTGGACTAATCTTGCTTGGACACAGGAAAGGATTCAAATGCACCATTATTCCACCCTCGCTGATGCTTAGATTTTGCTGAAATGGCCACATAGCCTCAAGCTTGGGGTTGTCAAGGATAGCCAATGCATACCTAGACAGAGAATAAAAGGTATGAACTTGTTACACCCACACTACATGGAGGGCAAAACAGCTGGGAGGAGGTTTGCACTTATGAGAACTTAATGTGCATACTTACATAGATTTTGTCCCTGGTGGGAGTCCAATGGGGCATGAAGTCACAAAGAACTTAAGTCTCTTTCATTAGGGTCGTCACGCAATGTTACTAGAGAAGTGTTGCATGATGACCCTAATAACGGCTGCGAAGGAGACTAAGAGAACTTGTGCTACTGAATATACTACTTTGAAGGGCTTCAAGCCAGCAAAGACCACCATAAAAGCACAGACTGTTGATCTAACTATCCCTTACAGTGGCTGCTAATAGGGTTAACTTGCTCAGGTAAGTCCCTATCATTTTGGGTAAGTACAAAACATACCTTTTTTATGTAACAGGTGGGTGATCAAGTGGCCCACCACTACACTCTGTACGTACCTGTCATTGTACAAAATTGGTTTGTCCAGTCCATGGTTCACCAGATCTGGCAGAGATAGTGGTTTAATTTCTTTCAGATTCTTGAGAAAGTTCAAAGATTTGANGTTTAGCGGTTCTTGGCGTTCCCTCCCTATCCCCCCCTTTCTTTTCAGCATTTTATTTTATTTATTTATTATTTATTTATTTACTTATTTATTTTTTTTATTTTTTTTTCCACCAATGCCGTCTGGCTTGAGTGTGACGGGTGCCTGTAGGGGGCTTGGCACAGGGGGCTCGTGGCTTGGTTGCAGGTTGGGCAAGCCAGTCGGGTGTTCTAGCGCCTTGGGGATGTGACTGCGGTTGCAGCCCCTGGGCTTCGTAGGCACCTTCCCTCCACTAGCGACTTGGGCGTTAACACTTGAATCATCAACCCTAGACATCCATTCAGTAATCCATTCCCTGAAGATTTGAAAACTCTTTTATAATCAAATATTATAACATCTTTGTACCTCAAACAAGTCAGAGAGGCATTTTTCAACACATTCTCCAGTTGGCATACGAAGATGTCTGCAAGCATAACAGTGAAGTGCAGAGTTCAAATTGGAACATCCTCCAAGGCACTGTTTGTGACAACACAAATTGTTGGATCTCTCCACGCAACCCCGTTCTCCACACTTCATGTCACACACTGAAATTGTGCAAAACAATGTTACAACTTGTTAAACCAAAAGGGTTTCACTTGTGGCTGGGTCTTACAAAGTGTTTCTTAAAAAAACAGACAGAAATTTACTGTTTTATGAAATACCCTTTAAATGTGTTATATCTTTATATATTTTTTTCAAAGTAGTCATTTTTGCACATCAATTGTCAAATCAACAGATTACAAAAATCTATCTTGTAATATTTACAGTGCATTTACTGAAACCGAGGCCACCCAGACAATGAAAACCAATCAGATGGCAGAAGTGAAACAATAGATTCCAACATTTTCAAATGCAGCCAATGAAATTTCATTTTGTTTGTTGTGATGTTTGTGACTACAGTGTCTGTTAATAAATATTGTCAAGCTCAAACTGTTGGAACTTTTGCTTTAGAAAATATCAAGTTACTTTACTTAAGATTTTATATTTACAACTGCAATAAATTCATTACATTGACCTTTTTCCACTGTGAATGAACAGCCACACAAAATATCATCTTTACGGTTGTGTTTAAAATAGATTAGTAGAATGATAGATTTTGACAAAATACATTTCATCCTGTTGTCTGTGTGTGTTTCTATTTTTACACAGCTTTCGGTTGTCATTACCATGAAATCCACCACGCAGTTCTCTGAAAAACTAGCACGCTCGCTTCACTATCTCAGCAGCTGTACATTTCAGAGTTTAAGCTCCCTTTCTGGGTTATTATTGTATTGAAATAACATGTTCATCAAAAATTCAAACAAATTTTTTTCTGCGTTGTACTATCAAAGCTTCAGTGTGAAAAATCACTCAGGCAAAAATGGAAGAGGGCACTATAAGAACCTTCCCTACTCTGAGACCATTTGAAGGGTTTCTTTTAAACAGCCACGACGATATATATTTACGAGTGACACTCTTACGCAGCTTTTCTTTTCATGTATTTTCTGAACCAAGTAACTGCCCCATAGGAAGGGCAGCATANATTATTCTCACTGCAATCTAGGGCCGGCCTTAAAAGACTACAGATTAAATGTAATAATAATTAAACGTTTCTACTTACACCGCTGGCAATCGTGGTTTTGTTGATTCCCCGGAGCCCAGCAGTGTTGATTCGTTGAACTGCCGTGACCTGCCGGTGGGATGCATTTCTTCTGCTCCCCCGTCGCTTGGAAGCACACATCATAACAGTCATTATTGTTAGAATTTAAAACCAGGGAGTATTCATTCTCTGTGACATTCCTCATGATCGATTTCCATCGAATCGTCTTCACGTAGCATAAATTAATGTTTTTCTCGATACGTACACCACCATCCAGAATGGTTGTTAGCGAAGGAAGGTTCACTTCCTCGAGTCCGTCATTCTCGTAGATGACAAGAGAATAACCCAGAAATAACTCTCTCCCTCGAATCACGCCAAGTTTAGGGAAAATCTCTTTTAAACTACGCTCTCCATAAACCAAGGAAACGAGCAAATGGCCGGTGATTTCTGTAAGCTTGGGAAATCGTAATTGCTTCATAACAATATCGTTCGCTCTTCTCACGATCTGAATTTGAACGCTGCCCTCGTATGTTGTGCAATTTTCCAGTTCTTTACAACCGTCGCATTTGTCTTTATTTATTTTCAACACCAAAGGCGATGCTTTCCTTGCAGGAAAACGAACCTTTTTTTCGCAACCTGCAGATAAAAAGGGATAAGATGCCAAACAAATGCCACTGACGTTACATTAATAGGAATTTAATCAATCGAACTGACAAACTTGTTGTGGCTTCTCGTAGCTTCCGCGCGCGCAGATGTCAAATTCAACTATATACTTACGTTTGAAGTTGAGATCTTCTCCATTGTTGAAACCACACAATGATATAAACAAAAAGGTAAAAAGAACGTCCTTCCTCATGATTTAGCAGACGAAGACTGTACAATTCAGAGTTTTACAAGCCACTCGTTCGTATATAAGATGCGCTGAAGCATGATCCGACACTTGAACCCCGCTAATATGAAAATATGTAGCTATTTCCGACTTGCTTTTCAAATAGAAGTCAATCTTCGACGATAAAGGCGGCGAATTTCACTTCACAATAGCCCAGGTTCTGATTGTTAAGCAGAAGCTTGTAAGGTTAGACTACACTAATCTGCCCGACGGTCGGGGAAATTGGATGCAAATACATATGTAATCCATGACTGGTCTGTAGTACGTCACGGTGACCTCATATCCTCTCCAAATAATAACTGTCAGTCACTAAATATCCAGGGGTAAAAAGTCAAATATTTTTATCTGCATGCAATTTTACTTTCTTTGCCTTTCCAACCTAAAAACATTGTTAAAATCTCTGATTAAAAGTGCCATAATTATGAACTAAAACCGTGATTGAAAAGATGTTGTTTTTTAAAGTGGACTCGACAGCCAGCAAAGGCCGGTGCAGTACAAGATGGCAATATTCCAGAATTTTGATTAGCTTTTTTGCGGCACTTACTCAAGGCCAATATAAATTTAGCAACCAAATAGACAAATGAAAAGTGCAAACAAAGGTCCATCTTCCTGAGGTTATTTGATTTTAGGCCTGCCCCAAACTCAACGTGATAGAACTCACGACTGGAGAAAAGACTGCTAAGACTGATAATCGTTAAGAATAGAGCTACGAATTGGACCGACTTTTTAAACCCCACCTCAGTAGAGCTGTGGTTTGCTTTCATTTCTGTTTTTAAATTTGCTCTTTTTGCCTTCAGGTAACTCATATTAAACGGGCATCTCACAATCACCAACATGAAGACTGGGAACATAATAATTATAGCCTGCCCAAGTTTTCAGCTTTACAACGTCTTCAAGTAGCCGAGAAGCCTGGCAATTTCGTTCAGTCAGTCAGTTGAAACCGCGTTTATTTATACTGCCAAACAATTCGTGAGACAGTATACAAAAAGATATTTAAAAATTGAATAAAACAAATTGTTGCTGTGTAGCACTTTGAACTGAATTGCATTCGTCGATAAAGTTAAACAAAAGTGCCCATGTTTAGTTTTTGACGGAGACGTTTCGAGAAAATAAAACCCTTCAGCGCGTCTAACGGACGCTCGTGAACAATAACGTTTGTTGGCATCTAAAAGGCTATAAAAGGGTTTTTATCAGCTTTATAATAATCATTTCATGATTCACATAACAGTTTGCTTTGTGATTAGCCTTTTTTTCCATACTTCCCTTTAATATGAATATGCATGCAAGAAGATTTGTTAAATGTAGCCGGAAGAGCACAGTTTATTTTACGGATTTCCTTGAAAGGATTCGTCTGTTTAAATCCTTTATTAGTTCTTAGGTAAGATAAATATTTACCAGCAGGTCCCTTTTTGTACATAAGAGACTTACGAGAAAAAGAATTTTGAAATTCTAATTTATCTACTCTAGGAAGTAGCCTCGCGCTATAACGTGAGAAATTTTATAGATAGGGGTGGATCCGTTATATGGAAACTACAAACACTTCATTTGTTTTGTCTTAATTATTTCCAAATCATTACCTTATTTCTTCCCAAAAACGTTTAAATTTACATCGTATCATCCACCTATTACATGGTTTCTAGCCCAGCTACTCGAACGAGATCCTGAACTGTGATTGGCTACCGTACCCAACCAGTAAAACTCGCGCGGGATTACGCGCTTTTCCCGCAGCAAAATGATGTTTTTTATAGCAAGTCCATTATTAATTTTAAAAACTTGTTAGGGCCCGGTGTTAGGGCAAGATGGCTGGATGACCCTAGATAGTGGCCTCCCTTTTGTTCTTGCGTGTAAAAACACGCAAAACTTCGAATTTGGCCAACATGCAGAAAAATCTTGACGTCACGCTTGGTCAATAACCCGTGTTCATGAACCTTGAGTGGACTCACTGTCATGATTTCTGGTCATTCAGAACTGAAGCTATTTTTTTTCTTAATTTGATAGCCGTGATGCCTAAATGTGGGACCAGCCTACGCTGAGATGTTGTACGTACCAAAACAACATCAAATTTCCGGCCTCGTTTTACACTGCACTTGGACATCAGAAAGAGAGGGGAATCTCTGTCTCGCAGGGTAACCTGGTTTCAGACTAAAGAATTTTAATGTAAATCCTAACTCAGACGGGAAATGGAATTTTAAGTACCTCCTTTCTTGTTTCGTTCGTGTCTCGCGAGAAAGGAAACGATTTTAAAACTAAGTTCATCCAGTATCCCATGACCCAAGCCGGTGCTGTGGGAAATGGCGTCAAAAAGTTTCTTGGTTACTTTGCTTGTATGAATGTACTATTTTATTGTAGTACAAACTATTTTGGGATCAGCATCACTTTACACCGCTTTGTCACTATAAAAAAATGAATAATTTTGTTTGAGTCTCGACTAAATACTTATAAATACTATGACCTACCATTAAAGTGCTACTATGACGAAATTCCCCGTACCCATTTTTTTACATTTTTGTACACAATAGGCCTCTCTTTCCTAGATATCTTGGCAAATTTCAATCTATTACGAACCTTAGTACCCATGTTTTTGGACCTTTATTTCCGAGAATTTACGGCCGCCATTAATTTTCCTTGTTCCAAGTCTTGGTTGAGAATTGGAGAAAATGACGTCATTTTCTCAAAAATACCACACGGGTTGAAATCATAATTAACAATTACTACAGCAATTACTACACTCAACCAAGACTTGGAACATGGAAAATTAATGGCGGCCATAAATTTTCGGAAATAAAGGTCCAAAAACCGCAAATTCTAATGTTCGTAACAGATTGAAATTTGGCAAGATATCTAGGAAAGACCTATTGTGTACGAAAATGTAAAAAAAAAAATGGATATCGAGAATTTCATCATAGTGGCACTTTAAGCTACTTTAATGTTAATGGTAACTTCCTTTAACTGGTAACCAATTGCCCACCTAATTACAAAAATTGTGGTCATTTATCACTAAGATGATGATCAAGTACAATGGCCTCTTAGTCAAGGAAGATAATTTCCGTCGGTTAGTAATGTCAGTTTTAATTTATTTTTTATGCGCATCCTGCATCAGTACATCATGAACCGCGAGGAACCGCGATAGAAAGGCAATTTTTGGTGAGTACTTAATGTAAGACTACGTATAATGTCCCGAGAATACGGCTGTAGTTCTGGTATACCCCTGTAAACCCTTCGTATACCCCCTGTAAACCTTTGTTTACCCTTGTATACCCCTGTAAACCCTTGTACATCCCAGTAAACCCCTGTATACCCTTGTAAACCCTTCTACACCCCTTTAAACCCTTGTATACCCCTTTAAACTTTTGTTTACCCTTGTATACCCCTGTAAACCCGTGTACACCCCTGTATACCCCTATAACCCCTTGTTTACCCTTGTATCCCCCTGTAAATCCCTGTATACCCCTGTAATCTCTTGTATACTCTTGTATACCCCTGTAAATCCCTGTATACCGCTGTAAACTCTTGTATACTCTTGTATACCTCCGTAAATCCCTGTATACCCCTGTAAATCCCTGTATACCCCTGTAAACTCTTGTATACTCTTGTATACTCTCGTATACCCCTGTAAATCCCTGTATACCCCTGTAAATCCCTGTATACCCCTGTAAATCCCTGTATACCCCTGTAAACTCTTGTATACTCTTGTACACCCCTGTAAACCCCTGTATACCCTGTATACTCTTGTATACTCCTGTAAACTCTTGTATACTCTTGTATACCCCTGTAAATCCCTGTATACCCCTGTAAACTCTTGTATACTCTTGTATACCCCTGTAAGCCCCTGTATACCCTGTAAACTCTTGTATACCCCTGTAAATCCCTGTATACCCCTGTAAACTCTTGTATACTCTTGTACACCCCTGTAAACCCCTGTAAACTCTTGTATACCCCTGTAAACTCTTGAATACCCTTGTACACCCCTGCAAACCATTGTATACCCCTGTAAGCCCCTGTATACCCCTGTATACCCATGTAAACTCTTGTGCACACCTGTAAACCCCTGTATACCCTTGCAAACCCTTGTATACCCCTGTGAACCCTTCTATACTTCTGTAAACCCTTGTATGCCCTTGTATACCCCTGTAAACCTTTGTACACCCCTGTATACACCTGTAAACCCTTGTATACCCTTGTATACCCCTGTAAACCCTGGTATACTCTTGTTATACAAGGGTATACAAAGGTATACAAAGGAATACAGGGGTTTACAGGCGTATACAAGGGTACACAGTGGTTTACAGGGGTATAAAGGTGTTTAGAGGAGTATAGAAGGGTTTACAGGGGTATACAAAGGTATACAAGGGTTTATAGGTGTGTACAGGGATTTAAAAGGGTATACAAGAGTATACAAATGTTTACAGTGGTATACAGAAGTTTACAGGGGTATAGAAGGGTTTTAAGGGGTATACAGAGGTTTACAGCGGTATACAAGGGTTTATAGGGGTATACAATGGGGCCTACAAGGGTATACAAGTGTTTACAGGGGTATACGGAAATCTACAGGGGTACACAAGGGTTTGCACGGGTATACAGGGATTTATAGGGGTAAACAAGGGTCTACAGGAGTATACAGAGTTTCACAAAAGTATACAAGGGTTTACAAGCGTATACAAAGGTATACATTGTTTACAGGGGTATAAAGGGGTTTGCAGGGGTATACAAAGGTATACAAGGTTTATAGGGGTATGCAGGGATTTACAGGGATATAGAAGGGTTTTAAAGGGTATACAGAGGTTTACAGCGGTATACAAGGGTTTACAGGGGTATTCAGGAATTTACAGGGGTATACAAGGGTTTACAGAGGTATACAGGGATTTATAGGGGTATGCAAGGGTTTACAGAGGTATACAAGGGTTTACAGGGGTATACAAGGGGTTACAGGGGTTTACAGGAGTGTACAGGGATTTACAGCGGTATACAAGAGTTTACATGGGTATAGAGGGGTAAACAAGGGGTTACAGGGGTATACAGACGTTTACAGGGGTATACAAGGGGTTACAGGGGTATGCAGAAGTTTACAGGGGTATACAAGGGGTTATAGGGGTATACAGAGGTTTGCAGGGGTATACAAGGTTATACAAGGGTTTACAGGGGTATACAAGGGTAAACAAAGGTTTACATGGATTTACAGGGGTATACAAGGGGTTACAGGGGTATACAGAGGTTTACAGGGGTATACAAGGGGTTACAGGGGTATACAGAGGTTTACAGGGGTATACAAGGGGTTACAGGGGTATGCAGAGGTTTACAGGGGTATACAAGGGTTTACAGGGGTATACAAAGGTAAACAAAGGTTTGCATGGATTTACAGGGGTATACAAGGGTTTACAGAGGTATACAAGGGTTTACCGGGGTATACAAGGGGTTACAGGGTTTTACAGGAGTGTACAGGGATTTACAGGGGTATACAAGAGTTTACATGGGTATACAGGGGTATACAAGGGGTTACAGGAGTATACAGAGGTTTACAGGGGTATACAAGGGGTTACAGGGGTATACAGAGGTTTACAGGGGTATACAAGGGGTTACAGGGGTATACAGAGGTTTACAGGGGTATACAAGGGGTTACAGGGGTATACAGAGGTTTACAGAGGTATACAAGGAGTTACAGGGGTATACAGGGGTTTACAGGGGTATACAAGGGTAAACAGGGGTGTACAAGGGTTTACAGGGGTATACAAGGGTAAAGAAAGGTTTACATGGATTTACAGGGGTATACAAGGGGTTACAGGGGTTTACAGGGGTATATAAGGGTTTCCAGGGGTATACAGGAGTTTCCAGGGGTATACAGGGGTGCACAAGGGTTTACAGGGGTATACAAGGGTAAACAAAGGTTTACAGGGGCATACAAGGGTTTACCGGGGTATACAAGGGTTAACAAAGGTTTACAGGGGTATACAAGGGTTTACAGGGGTATACTAGAGCTAGAGCCCTATTCTCGGGACATTATACGTAGTCTTACATAAGGTACTAACCCAATTTTTGGCGGTCAATTATACGTCATGTATGCGGATTCGAGCCAGTCTCCTCACGCTCGGACAGTTGATTTTAATGATGGCGGAGGATTTGTGAGCTTTGTTATGTCTGAATGTGAAGGTTCTTCCACTGTCTCTGAGGGCTCTTCAGATAACCTGATACTTGTTCAAGAAGTCTTTGGTGAGTGCTTGTCTGACCATATTGTTCCTACTGCAATTTGTGCTTGAAAACCGAACGAAGATGGGACGTTGTATTTTTTCCCCTTCTTAAAATCGATCAGTCGAAGACACTAGCCCGTTGCAGAAATGTATGGTCTGTTGGAAACATTATATTATTAAAAGCAGTATCAGGAAGATTTTTTAGCAGTATAAACCAAATTCGAATGAATAAATCCTCCATCACTCGAAGAGTTCAAGTGTAGGTGAACTGAGGCAATAAAAATAGTCAATATAAAACTCTAAGTACTAAGTTGAAGAATGTTGATAATTTGCAGCGTCATAAGATGTTATGTTGATATTGTACCCAAATTTGTGTTTCCAGGAAACAAAGCTGCTCTTTGAGTAAGGAATTTCAATACAATTATTTACAAACAGCATTTATTGGATATTAGTATAAATCTACTAATAATGTTCTATCACGAATGTTGTTCTCTGATTGGCTATGCTACTCACTATCTATTCTGTGTTAGTATAAATCTACAAGCGTTCTATCACAAATACTGTTCTCTGATTGGCTACGTTACTCACTATCTATTCTCTGGTAGATAGTGAGTAGCGTAGCAGTGTGTGCTTGTTAACAAAATGATGGCCGCTTCTTGGTGTTTTCGAAGAGTCTTTGAAGAGGATTAAGATAAAGTTTCGAAGCACTAATAGATTTATACTAAAACAATTAGATTATTTGTTCTTGATTTCTATGCATGATAGTTTACTCGGGCTGCACCCTCGTCAACTATCACGCGATAGAAATCTCAAGCTCGTAATCTAATAATTCTTTAACAGATAGTGAGAAGTGTAGCAGTGTGCCGTTGTTAAGAAAATGAAGGCCTCTTCTTGACATTTTCAAAGTGTCTGTGAACAGGATTTAAATAAAGTTTTGAAGGACTAGTAGATTTATACTAAAACAATAATATTAGATTATTCCCTCTCAATTTCTATGCATGATAGAAATCTCGAGCTCATAATCTAATTATTTAATATACCAAACTAAGTTGGTGTATACATGATATATTTAAAAAAAAATTGTAATAATAAATAGACTGGTATGAATCGGTCAATTTGAAACTTCAAAATCCACCAAAGTCAACCCCTAGAGCATCTCATGGAGGTTAGACATTTTACATTTTCAGCCAGTCAGTTTCCCATCCCAGGCACCTAGATTTTAGGTGATGAAATGTCCCTACCCATGGGACGTACATTACATAAATGAGTAATGGAAAAGAAAAAATTCATCTTTGAACACTCACTTTGAACCTCCACTATGTCTCAAGTATTGTCCATACAATCAGTCATGTGTATCATATAAATATGAAAGTGATGAAATTTTCACAAGCACGATTGTCACGTTCAAACACAACAAAGTACTTTCTAAGAGTTTTTTTTCCAGGCACAATGTTACATGCTGTCCCTTGATGTCTTTTAGCCTCACCATGATTTCAAAACAGCTATTCCAAAATCCCTCCGCCCCTCTTATATGATTAAATATGTCAATATATATATTTCTATAGGGCCTATCCAGATATGTTCTAAGTGCTTAAAAAAAGCAAAAGAGCTAAAAAGAAAGTTCTATGAGATAAAAATACATAGTACAATGATAAAAATAAAATAAATTAAAAATTCTTTCTAGCTAAAATAATAATATTATTTTTAAAAAGATACGTCTTACGTTTACATTTAAAAAGACTTGTGTTATCACATGAACATAATCATTGGGTATTTTGTTCCAAAGTTTTGGAGCTGAGACTGAGAATGCTCTGGAGCCATAGGTCTCTAGGTTAAAGTTAACAGGGTTAAGATGAAGTGTAGATGATGAGCGGAGTGTTCTAGACATAACACATGATGCTTCTAAAGGTTGATGTAAGAATAACCAGCATCACTGTATATTCCCTCCTTATATGCTTTTTAAATTTTCTTTTCTCATTTTGTAGATCTCATAAAGGACATTAAGGTAAGTGGATATGGATAAACGACTTTTCATCTGTTGTATAATTTGCCAAGAAAGACTATGAATGAAATAACTGCTGTAAGAGGAGAAACTGTCATGAAAAAACCCACAAACAAACATGCAAAAAAGGAAAGCCGGTTCATAAAATGATCTGGATAACATGATCAAACCAGACATTTAAAGCTGAACTTGTTAATTTTTAGTAATCACAGGAAATAAATTGTTTGAATTCCTAAATTGTCCTTCTTTCCTGCCCATGATTTCTGCATCATTAGCTTGTGCACACATGTACATGTACGTGCACATGTGCAACATTAGAAGATTTTCTTCAAACTGAGCTTGACAGAGAAATATTTTATGTTACACGACTGGTGTGGTTTTCTTATAAATGAGCAAAGTGTGACTCTACTTTTTATCACATAAATTTTACAGCGATACAGTTGAGTACAATATTATACATTGCGATTGAAGGTAAAGTTTAAAATTCTACCTTGAGATATTTTTATTTGAAAGCTTAAAGAACATGTTTTTAGGAAGCACTGGTTAATTTTCTACATGCAGCAAACTCTTCAATTTGCCTTATAATCCTAATTTCTTTTCCACTAAAATAGGTTACAATATAATATCAAAGTTGATTTTGTTGAACAGTTCTAAGAGAAATGTCTTTTTTTGAGAAATATGTTTTAGTATAGTTCTCCATTCGGCTTATTAGGGTCTGTGGTTACTAAATTAGTTACTAATTAAAAGCAGTTGTAAGGGCACGGTTATGTTAAGTCGGCATTCTAGCCAAGTAGCCCATTAGGCTGGAGCCTATCCCAGTTTTTGTAGCATGAAACAACCAGGAGTATTTCTGCTCCCTATTCCATCTGTGACTGCTGTTGTTGTTATTTTCAATATCCCAGAATTAGCTTAATTTAGTGAATTTGGCTTTGTTGGTAGGATTGCCTACCCTCACACGCACCTGTAGCCATTTTTTCTCACACCCTTTATTTTTTATCATGCTTGATTGAGGTAAGAAAAAGAAGGGCTACTCAAAGGCTAGTTTTCAGTTGACAAAGAATGTGTTTGTCAGTATGGTAGGGGTATTTTGCTGTTGAAATCATTCTGTCTGTTTCTTTTTATTTCAGGACCCAGAGTTTCCACAAACATTAGAAGAGCTCAATGTCATTGAAGAGGACTTTATTACAATTGACCCCATAGGAAAAGATGAATATAATATAAAGATAGAATTCAAACCGACAGTTCCTCACTGCTCTCTTGCGACACTTATAGGTGAGTCAGTTAAATATGTTGTAGTTTACTCTTTATTATGCTTTTGTGCAGCCATTTGTTTTGGGTACCTAAAAATAAATAATTGCAGAAAAGCCTGAAATGTGCTTGAAAAAGTCAGCAAATATGACTGTCTTGTGAATTAAACTTTCTCCTTGAATAGTTTTACCTGTGAAATGGATAGAAAAAGTTCCTTAGAGTTAGTCTTAAGCTTCTTAATCTTATTGTTTTTACTAAGGTCATAAAAGGTCCAGGATGCACACCTGTGGCCACTGTCATGATACTTGTCCAATATAGCTGATAGAATTGTGAGAAGAATGTTAGGATGTTAGTCACTTTTAAGAATTGAATACATGGAGAGACAGAGAAGATTTCATTTACAAAGTAGTAGCAAAGGAGTAGTGACAGAGTTCTTAAGCAGTCATATTTAACAGTATCTTATTTTTTGAAGGACTGTGTTTGCGGGTTAAATTGGAGCGTTCATTACCATACAAGTTCAAGGTATGTTTTGTCATAATTTGATAACCATATTGATCAGAACAGTCAGGGTATCTATTTGAGAAAATGTAAACCATTCTGGGTTGAGAGAAGACTGAGCCTGCCATTATGTCATCTATGTGGTTGCTAGGCAACAAAACATCACAATAAGATGACACTCAACTTGCAAAGCCTGCTTAGACAGTAAAACAAAGACAAAGTGTTCTTGGGGTTTAAGGTGGCTTACTACATTTTTTCCACGACTCAGAAGTGCATGCTACAATTGCCTGCCAGACGTCAGTATTAGTTGCAGGTGCAAAAATGACACAAGTAATCCTAAGAAGACATGAAAACAACTTCAGCAATTGAAAGGTGTTAAATCACTTTTGGCATCTGTAGTTTCAAACTGCTTTCAAACATGTGTTTTTAAGCCTAGGGCCAATAAAATATGAAAAAATGGTCCATAAAAAACCAGTCAAATAGTTCTAATTTACTCTTGCTTTCTTGAACACGATACATGGTGTCACACTAGTGCACACTTAAATAAAGGGCATGCACAGTTTAATTCTTGTCCAAGGTTGTAAAAGCTAGTCTTTCCTCAAGGATTGCTCTTAAACTTACCACCATACAACCCTTGATGAAATTTTCACAGTTAATTAGTAGGGGTGTAAAAAATTGCATTTAGTGCCAAAATTAAAAAAAAATTGCAAGACAGATTTTGAGCTATTTTTGAGCTATTTCACATTTTCTTAGTTTGTGAAAAATCTGTCTTACAGATTTTTATTTTACTTTGCATGAATGTTAAATCAGAGCCAATTTCTTATTCTTGAAATTTCGAGGTGGGTTCATCTGGGTAGATTTTGAGAAAAATGCCATGTAACATACTAGTGCCCAGTCTCTCCTTAGGTACTTGGTCATTCATTTTGGCCATTCCCCTAGAATGGTAAAAGACTTCAGCAATTAGTAAAGAGAAAGAAGAAATGTCTTGGAACATTTTTCAAAAGAGTTAGAAGTTAGGCTGTTATAATCCTTCAAAACTGTAGTAAGCCACCTTAATGTTTCAAGACTGTTTCTGTGTTAAGAGTCATTCGAAGTTGTTTTTCACACACCTCTGAAAGTTTAAGCTGACCAGAAGAAGCATGACCTATACTGCAGAACCATAATTTTATACAGGCACATTCTTGAAACATTAGAGATAGGTGCAACATGGAAAAGAAAGCCAAATTCTGGTGGTAGTATTTTGGAGGTAGAGGTGTTAAAGAATAGAAAATTTTAACAATTGATAGATAAAATAGTTGTCTTGACAGAATGACTAACGGTGTCTACAATAACTACCTTTCATTGAGCCTCAAAAATTATATAAGTACACCAGGCATGAGATCAAGTCATGAGACTTGGTGGGATTGTTTCCTTGTGTAGTAATATTTTAACTTAATAACCTTCACAATTTCCTTTTTCCTCAGCTGGACATCTTCCTTTCCAAAGGAACACATTCCACAGAGGATGAAAGTAAGTTATATGTTGCAAGTTATCTCGTTAGAGACTCATACCAGTTTAGATTATGCTATCAAAACTTGTTTTACTCAAGACTGAAGAACGAGGCTGAGGCACAATAAGATAAATACATGACTGTATATGTATTCAGTATCATCTTGTAGTGGAACTTATTTACCCCCTAGGGGTCACATCCTGTGGCTGTCTATTATTATTCTTTATGTCCCACAAGGATTAAGAATTTTTCTGATTAAAGCTAATTACACCTTATCTCTGGTATCTGAGCAACATAACTATGTTACTCGAAGTGCATCCCTACAACACTTAAACCCCGGTTTCTCCAGAATAAATATAAGGAAATTTTGTCCCACTGTTATTGGATGTTACTATTGGAATGACCTTCCCTTATCTATATGTAACTTAGCGACTAGAAAATGTTTTAAAAAAGCACTCTTCCAGTATTATTTTGCTCAGTATTAATTAATTCATACCTCTTCCTCTCCTATGTTAAGTTAACTTTTTTACCCTAATTATTACTGTCAATTAAACAAGGGCATCTAATTAGCTTGCTATATTTTTGCCCTTTTCCATTTCTCCTCTTACTTGTCTACTTTATATTTATCTTTGTAATTTTAGAATGGAATAAATAAATAAAATGAAAAAAAATGAAAAAATGAAAGAAGAGCCTTTCTCAATGTTAAAATCAGAGTTCGTAGAATTCAGATACAATGATTGATTAACCAATGGAATTACATGAAACAAACAGATGTGAGCATAACTACCAGTCAGTGTGCTGGAATATGATTATTGATGCCAACTCAGACACCCCAGACATCCCCCACGCTTATATATTTAGGGAACTGAGGGGCAGATGAATTCAGTCTACAAAAGGCTACTACTAACAAATTATTATTGTGTTGAAAGTAATATTATTGTGCAACCTCTGTGGACTTATGGTTATTTTAATCTTCTTCAAGGACAGGCAGTCAGGATAAGTTACTTTTTGGGTGGCAAGCCTGGGGTTACTCTGGTCCTAGAGGTTTTCTTTATCCTTTTTCTGCCTTCAATTCATTTTTTATGATAACTACAGAAATTGTTGCGCGCTCATTGGCTAATTTTCATCGTCAATAAGCAGACAGACACATGAATTTATAATTTATGCGATGCATCAACAAGCTAGAGCAGACAATTTGACAATTTGTTATCGTAAAAAACACACTGACATCAGGTTTTCATTCGTCTGTCCTGTTACCATATCGACAATGAATTTTATCATAACATTGTCAAAGTAGTCTGTGGTATCACTCAATGATCGCCCGAGGAACCACAGCTACTTTGACAATGTTATGACGAAATTCATGATCAGTAAGAGGACAGACGCATGAAAAACTGATGTCAATTTGTTAAGTACTGCATTGTGGCTCACATTTGTCTGTGAAATAAAAAAGAGAACACCTTATAAACCAGGGTATCCTGGGGTAGATTTGGCTGTTGTTACATGCACTCTTAAAGTCTAAATTGACAACTTTTTGTGTTAGACACAATTCTGTTACCATAATATGTGTAGTCACCATAGATATGTAATTATAATAGTTATTCTGTAATAATATTTTTCCTGTTGTGAAATTGAATTTGTTTTAGTCAACAAGCAAATCAATGACAAGGAGAGAATAGCAGCAGCAATGGAGAATCCAAATCTAAAGAAAATTGTTGATGAGTGCATTTCAGATGAAAGTTAACGCCCAACCAAGCAGCCAGCTAAGAAAACAAACATTAAAAAATTAAACTACTGCTATTTAAAACATGCTGAAGGCTTTGCATAGAAGCCTTGATTCTTTTCTGTCAGTATTGCTCTAGGCTCAGTGAGGACTGATTGAAAGTGATGGACTATCCAGATAACTGTTTGTAAAGAAGATTTCTGCTCGAATTAAACTGTTCAAACCAAGGGAAGTTGCTCAACAAACTGATAATCAGATTATTTTTTTTATCCATGTCAATAATAGACTGCAAGAAGCCCCTTATTGATAGCCTAGTGGGCAAGCAATTCTATTGATGTAACTATTGCATGAAGGAAGTAAAGGCAGAAAACACCTTCACTTTTTCCTTGATCAAATCTTCTAAATCTAATCTTGTCAACTTCCCATCATGTTCACTGCCTGATTTTTTTTTTGTCGCATTCACCTCATTCGCTCAGACACTTCAGTTCATAAAGAAATAGCTAGCAGTCTAACTACATCAATAATAGTAATTATTTGGGTCAAACCGACTTAGTGTAGTTAGCCATTCATTATGTTAACACCAAGGTGGTTGCTTAGGGGGAAAGTATTCTTTTTGCCACTTTCCAGTTGCTCAATTCATGAGGCCACCTCACATTTCTTTTTCATGGCATGAAGCAACCACATGTAGTTTTATCATGTCATCTACTAGATGGATGCTACTATCTTTTTTAGATATAGGGCTATTTGTAATTTTTATAAATCTACTAGCATTCTATCACGAATGCCATTCTCTAATTGGCTTCGCCACTCACTAACTATTCTGTTGTTGATAGACCTCTTGATAGTAGAAAAAGCACTGCACTTGTTAACAGACTGGCAGCCGCTTCTTTCCGTTTTCAAAGTGTCTGTGTAGAGTATTTAGTTCAAGTTTTGAACGACTAGTAGATTTATACTGAAACAATTAGATTATTCGCTCTAGATTTTTATGCGTGAAAGAAATAGAAATAGAGAGAGAAATAGAAATCGCGATAGAAATCGAATAATCTAATTGTTGAATGTATATAGCTTTTTATGGGAAATTTTAGGTCAAGGAAGAAAAATCTTTGAAGTCTAAATGAAGGTTCCTGTAGAAGAGCCATGACATTTGACAATATGACTATCAAAGTGCAGTTTTTTGTTACTTGTAGTCAAAGACAGTGTGGTACTACAAGAACAACATGTATTAATTTGACTAAGGGTTTCAGCCAAACAAATCACCAGCACAAAGCAGGTGTCTCGAGACAGGTTATCTTAGGTATTTTCAATTTGAATTAATTGTGGCCAGAAAAACAGGCTAATGCGCGTTTCAGTTTCTACAAGGAGCGCCTCAGGAAGGCAGTACATGTAAGTGCTGCACTAAGTAACTAAAACAGCGAAAATAGCTACTTTAGTAAGCAACGATAGCATATGTTTCTAATAAAATTGGGTTTAATTAAAAGTTGTGATCATAATTATTTACTGTTGTGTATTTTCACTTTTTCATTATTGCAAAACGACAGCTATGAAGGCATGTTTTTGAGTGCGAAAAAATGTAAGTTAGACGTAAGCGAAACTCAAAGGAGCTAGTGGTTGGACGGAGCAAATGTAAGCCCACACTGTTAGAGAATTGATCCGTCACGGGATTGTCTCGTGTACGTCACGTGTAAGTCACGAGTCACGAGTTTTACTAAGGACCAGAAAAAAGAGGTTGTGGGTTGAATTTAACTTGGAAAACCCATTGAGTTAGAATCTTACCGCGAGATTATCACGAGATTCGTAGGATAAATAGGATAATTAGGATAATTATTTTTCAATTGGCGTGGTCTCCGTCTTCTCCGTCGTGGTTGCTTATGACTGGCTAGTGGGTGCGGATAAGTCGTATAGCGCCACTGCCAGTGACAAACGCTTGTCACTTGACTCTGAAGATGATGTCTTCTCATCAGGTTTTGGAAACGTCAGTCACAGACAACAGTTCTTTTCAGAAGTACCCAGATGATCACACTGGACGAATTACCGTAGCAAATTTGCGTTCCGCACGCGTTTCTCCTCTCTTACCAAAATATTCTAATCTGGGTAATGTAGGCTTGCTGTGGCTTGGTCATGCTCCCTCTTGTACGTTAACTTTGCGTTAGCCACTGCACAGTGGGTTACACTGTTGTATCTTCATTCTAGGTTCCCACTAGCCTGCACAGCAGGCGAGATTTTTCCGAGCGAGCGCTCACATCGTAAAAAGTTTAGCCGCCATCTTGAATTTTTCATGCAGTGGAAGACTGGGGACAGAAAGAAAGTTTTACCAAGGGGTCATCCCCCACCGTCTAACATGGCGGTCGCAAGGTTGTAACGCTAACTCGCCCCAATAAGACGCCTGTACTGCAAGCTAGGTTCCCACGCTCGTTTCCTCGCACGTTCCGTCAGGAATTCAAGTTGCACTACATTCCCTGTAAGTTCGCGTAACAATAGAAGGAAGAAAACATACATACATACATAAACTTTATTAACGTGTCTTTATATCTAGCCTATGGTGGAAAAAAATCCTGTACTAATTGAGGACGCTTAGTATAATTAATAAACTACTGTTTTCTAATGAACTATTAAAAAGCCTGACAATACAATTAACAATATAATATAGTTAAAAACCAACATGCCATTTTCTAATAACAATCAACTAATGGGAACATAGGCACGCAAGGCGCGCAAGAGTTATTTTTTTTGTGAACTATAAGTCTCGGAGATAGGAGCATTCATGGAACTGTTTACAGTAAAGATTTGGTTGATTTGACAAGTTTTTTTGGTTGCGATGTACAGCAAGAAAGAAACTGGTAGTTTATGATGTACATACGATGTTACATCGGTAATGGTAAGATAACTAAATAGTAAGCCATAAAATGTTT